GTGGGCACGAGAAAGCGCTCTTGGCGGCAGAGGGGAGCAGCGCACGCACGCGGGCCGCACAGCCGTACCCGAGCAGTCGCCGCCGTCCCAGTCGCAGGCCGAGTTGTTGCAGGCTTTGTCGCAGTAGCCGTCCCTGACCCACGAGCCCGGGCAGCCCTCGGCGCAGTTGGGCACGGGCCACGTCAGGTAAACCTGCAGCCAACCGAGGAGGGACGCGGGCTTCTGATGCCTCCCGCTCAGGAAGGAAAACACCTCAAGACAAGTACGCCGCCGAAGTGGCGCTCATCTGTAATTCCAGCAGTCAGGAGGCTGAGGCAGGAGCACCGCCTTGAGCTCGAGGCCAGCCTGGGCCACACAGTGAGACCCTGTCCCCCAGAACCAAGGCCAAACAAAAAGAAGGGGGAGGGGAGGCGGCAGCCCCTGGAGAGGTGGAAGTCCCCGGGCTGGCCGTGCGTCCCAGAGGCTCTGGGTCAGCCCCGCCGTGGGGACAGAAGGGCGGGCACTGCCGGCGTCCTGTCACTCAGGAGCTCTCCCAGCTCGGCTCCCGGCCCAGCTCGCCGTCGGACCTGACTCAACGGCACGTGTCCCGCCCAGGCCTGAGCACGGACCACGAGAGGCTGGACACCTTCTGTGACAAGAGCAGCGACTCCCGGGCGCGTGAATGTGCCACCAGGTCTCAGGGCCGCCAAGACACGGAGGGGCTGAGTCCAGCCTCCCTCCCCTCCGCCCCGGGCCCTGTGCTAAATCAGTCCCTCGTCAGAATTCTGACACCGGCATAGAGCCCAGGCCCCACATCCTCGAGCACAAGCTCTGCCCCTGAGCTACTGCCCCAGTCCTTTTTCTTTGCGACGGGCCTTGAACTCACTGCACGGCCCAGGCTGGCCCTCCTGCTTCAGCCTCCCGAGTGTTGGGGTCACAGGCCCGTGCCGTGGCACCGGCTCTGTGCCCTCACCCGCCTCTGGGCTCGCGCTCTGCTCGCTCCCTGCCCACCTCCGCGGGCCCCGGGCACCGCTCACCTTCTGGCCCTTGGAGTGGCTGTAGAAGTCGTCCGGCCACACGTCCTTACCGAACATGACATCGTCGTTCAGGTAGATGAACTTCTGCGACAGCCCCTGGATGCGGTGGATGTGGCTCTCGATGGCCGGGGAGCTGAAGGTGGGCAGGTGGCTCTGGTTCCGGAAGACTTCCTGGGGGCGGGGCAGAGTCACGGGACCGGGGCCCGGACCCCGCCCAGAGCAGGAGGAGGTGGCAGCGCACCTGGTGGGTGATGATGGTCACGCGGGGGTTGTCCAGGTTCAGCCAGGACGGGATCTGGCCGTTGGTGACGATGAATACGTTGCGGACCCACGGCGCGTGCCTCTCGATGGAGCGCAGCGAGTACCTCAGCTCCTCGTTGTCCTCGAAGCGGCTGGCAGAGACATCCTCGTCCTGCTTGGACTGGGCCACACCTGCGCATTAGGTTGCAGCCCCACTGCCCGCCCTCTGCCCCGGGAGCTCGGGCTGGCTTCAAGGCTGGAGCTACAGGCACAGAAAACGCTGCCTGTGAGGCGGCACACGCCTGAGGTCCCAGCACCGGGAGGCTGAGGCGGGAGGGTCGCCGGCCACAACACCTGGCT